AAATAATATCAAAAGTGTATTAAATATTATACAACAACTCACCAGAAACTGAAACCTTTGCTTTTCCGCCGTCGCCTTTAGGGCTCAGATATTTCCTATTTTGCAAAATATAAAACAAATTTTTTATTTTAAAAATCAAAATTTTAAAAAGGATTTTTGGGGTGATTTTGCTTTCATATCAATCTCAATGCTTGTCATTAATATCACTGATTAAATTCATTGATCTGTATTTGATTTTGTATTCATTGCCCAAATCTGGTATAAAAGTCTAATTAATCGTTGAGTTTAATAAGACTTCCGATAACTGATCAAAAAGATATCTTTTTAAATAAAAAGTTATTAAAGAAATGTTTAATTTCACTATTATTTCACTACAATCTCAATAAGTGCTCAGAATTGGGTGTCTTTGAGATCACGACTAAACAATCAAAAATAATGATTATCTCATTTAATCTAATCGTAACACTAAATAGGTATGTTTAATTTCACTATAATTTCACTACAATCTCAATAAGTGCTCAGAATTGGGTGTCTTTGAGATCACGACTAAACAATCAAAACTAATGATTATCTCATTTAATCTAATCGTAACACTAAATAGGATTGAGTGCAAAAAACTAATCTCAATACATGGTAAACATAAACTCATTGTTGAATTAAATATATAATTATAGACAATTTGACATCAATTATGATTTATTTCCATCGATAAGGTTTTAGATAGCGTTTTACGTATCAAGTGATGTAGTGATGAGCGCATTGTCTTGTAATTGCTATCAAATGCCTAAAAACCCGAGAAAAATGCTAACATTTCGCAGAAAAAAATGCAATTAAATTATATATTGAACACTTGGAAAGTATGTATAATCTGTATAAAGCGTGTAATATTTTGCCCAAAAACTGATTTATAGTCTCCGTAGAGAATCGAAAGCAATTCTCAATTGAAAACACATTGAAAGCAAATTTGATAAAAAAGGCGATAAATTAAAAAGGGATGAAAAAGTTGGATAGAAAAATGAATTAATTGGCAAAAGTGTTCATACATTTTCATCTCATCTTTGTTTGAATGTCTTTCGGTTCTTTCATTAGCTCTCCTTCTCTGCAATTCACTCGTATAAGCGACCATTCGTTCATTGGATGTGAGCAACGATTTGGACGCTTCCAGTGTCTGGTTTGAGTGCTTACAGGCGGCCAACAGTTTGGTCGTCCCCTCTCTCATCTTGATCTCCAGATCAATCTTCTGTTCCAAATCATACTCCTATTACAAACATCAATGAAATTATGATTAATATTGGCATAAAACAGATTCATGATGGTTAGAGTCAAGAATTTTATATTGATTGTTTTGTGTGTTTGTATGCAATATAAGTTTGATTTTGAGTGAATGCATAATTTGTTAAACAAAGTGAGTACAATAGTTTTGGTAAAACTTTTCGCAATTATATAAAAGGCATTAAAAATCTTTGATAAACAAAAATGGTTTTTACATAATTTGATTTCATATATTGATAAACCAAAGCTGTTTTAAAGCGTAAAATAAAGCTTAATCTCTCCCTTCCTTCAAACATTGGTTCCCACAAACTCTCTTTCACTGGAAATATGTATCAAATTTCAATTTTCTACATAATTTTCTTTTCATTTTATACAAAATAATAATTATGTTATGTTTTGATTATTTATGCACTGAATTTGTTATATAAAAAATCTCTCCACTAATGATACTAACATAAGATATGAAGTTTTGGTTTTTGTATTTCCCTCTCATTTCATAAGACAACGAACCCTTTAGTTAATGAACTTCTATCTGAAGACTACTATTCCCAGTGCTCTGTAATTATTAAACACTTCTCAAAATAATAATAACAGTCGACTGGAAAAAGCATAACGTTTTTCGTATAATATTATTATTTTCCTTTTCAAAACTTCATAATTATAATGTTTAACTAATGGTAACTTTCATTTAAAGTGTATTTAACTGTAAGACATGTTCAGACATACGGTGAAAATATTCGGTGATTTACCATGAGTATTTTAAGATTGTGATTCTCTCTCTTTCTCTCGTTTTTTCTGTCGATTTTTATTTTATACTTCCGGGCGTTAAAAAAATTCAATTCAACAAATGGTTTATATTTCAAAATAAATCTTTTCATTCATTCATTGAATTCTGGGATTTATTTTGTATACAAACTTCTCGTATAATAAATATTTCNTCTCTCTCTCTCTTTCTCTCTCTCTCTCTCAATAACTACGGTATTACGAAATACCGACAAATTAATTATCATATACTTTGCAACACATTCTTAAGTGTCAACGATATTCACTGTTTTATTACTTTTGTTTGATTATTAATTTTAGTGTTTATTTCACTTAAAACTTACATTCAATGAATTGTGAAACAAAACAATCATTTGAACGAATAATTAGTATTGGAAAATTAATTCACTAATCAATTAGTGATCGCATGAATTAATTAAATGTTACATTTGGTTACGAAATAAAGCACTTAATTTGAAAATTATTACGAAAACAATTATGATTTTCTTATAATTATATTTTGGAAGAATATTTCAGATAAAATGTATTTTAAAATACAAAATAATTATCAATTAAAACCCAAACAATTAAATAAGTATTTCTCGAAATAAAATTTATGGGTTTTCTCACTAAATATTTATTAATCAATAAATATTTTGACAATTCTGTGTGTTTTAAAGTAGAAATGAATTATTTATAATTCACTATATTTTTAACCACTATTCTGATATGAATAATGTGGTTTATAGGATCG